ATATTTTTTCTAACATTTCTTCTTCCATTTGTGCCTGTAGTTCAGCCTGTCTTTTTTCTTCAATAGACAACCTCAGTACTGCTTTAAGATCAGCATCTGCATCATCAGCTGTTGCATTGTCAACTAAATCTGAAGCTTCTGATTGTGAAACCGGAGGCACAAATGTACATTCAGTCAAACTTGCATGGATTGCTCTACAAGGAAATTAACTAAATATACATACAAGCCAAGCCAAGGTATAATCGAATACTAAATATATTAGTTGGATAATAAACTAATCAATATTTATAAGATATTAAACAACTTGGTCCAAGGAAAATTTGTTTTAAGGTTTGAAATTAGAGGAATTAAGCATTTTATCGTCCTCTCTTTTTAAATGGTAACCTGTTTAAATACACTTATATTGAAAAATATGTATGATAAAATGTTTGTATATATTTGTACCTTTGTAATTCTTCATCGCCTGGATCGAAATAAAGGTCATTGGGAGTATTTGGTCGTTGAACTTGTAAAGCTTCCCAAATATCAACCTTTAAAAAAAAAAAAAAATGTTTGAAATTAATATTATAAAACATTAAATATATTATATAATTAATTACTTGATCTTCTTCAGCTCCAGTTTCTAAAAGACTCTGTCGAACAGCAAATTGAAGTAGTTCTTCATCATTATCCATACCAATTTGACGTCTTTGTTCAGCACCTTTAACAAATATTTAAGTAAAATACAAATATACATATTTGAATTATTGTATTAAAAATTGTCTTTTACCAAGCACCACATAATTTCTGGGAGGGAAAAATACAGAATCTTCAACTACACAGAACATTTTTCCGTCAGAGTCTAATGTTTGAACACCTTCTACAGCTCTATCGGTCCCAAATAAGTTACCAAATGTAATTTGGGCATTAGAAATATGGTATAGTGGTATTTCTACAAAATAATAATCATTTCAAAATATATCATTTAACTTATAGYTGAAAGATTAGATACCAATTTTAACAGGAAATCCTGATGGGAGCTGCATTTCAATGAAATCCTTTAGTTTGGCAAAATGAGAACTAGTAATTGCCATTAAATCAACAATTGGCATGATCTGTTCTTTCAAACTCAATGGGTAATCTTCACTAAGCCATAAATTAGCCTAAAAATATTTTAATTCATGTTTAAAGTCAATGGTTCACATTTTAAGCTAGGCATAATATTTAAACTTTTTTAAACCTTGATTTTTGTGACTTTTGTAGTTTGCTCAATTGGCTTCCGTATATATCTACCTTTGATATCAACCAATTCGTCAAAATATTCAGCCATAGTAACTTCAAGATCTGATTTGACTGGCTAACAGGCAAAATTTTAAAYATAAAATACATAATTAAAAACTTWAATTAGTATTAACTTACACATGTTTCTTCACTTGAGCCTAAAATTGATTGGATGGGATTTTTTGTATTATTTAATTTTGCTTTTTCAGTTTCATTCATATGCTCTGTTCTTGATTTGGTAACAAATTCCACATTACTTGCACTAAATACTTTACAATTATAATCATTAATTATTTCTGATTTATCTTGCCGCCAACCCCAAATACCACTTTTATTCCTATAATACAAATAACACATAAAAATCATTGTAAATTTCTCATAAAATATTCATAAAATACCTTTCAAAACTAATTTTTTTAGTATCTATATCAAAACTAACAATAGGAGCAGACAATCTGCTGGCTATTGTATCATCTGATGGACGCATCACTTCAATACCTTGATCTAAAGGTATCATTTGTATTTCTTCTACATAAACCCTGTGTGCTTCATGATCTACTTCTAAAAATGTAGCTGATTTACCTAATAAAACAATATATTAAACATTTGATTAAGTTCAAACAATATTAATAATTTTACAAAAAAAAACAATAGTTAATAACAATCTATTTTAAAGAATAAAAGGTCCACTTCTAATAAAATATTCATAAGGTAATAGTTTAAATAACTTATTATACTGAATTTTTTTAGTATACACAATCTTTCAGAAAACGTGTACTTTTAAGGTTTAAATTTAAGTAATATATTATGTGTATATATTCTACTAAAGAATGGTAAACATCAATTTATAATCAACAACAAATCATTAAAATAAGAATGATACCTTTAATGCTAGATCATGATTTATTACTACTTTCTAAATTATAAAATTTCACAAGTTCAAAATCTTTTACACTTTAAAAATAATTGTATTAAATGGAAAATGGTATAAAAAATATAAAAAATTGCTTTGAAAGCAAACCTCAAACCAATATTATATATTCAACTAGAATTAAGAGCAAAAACAATTATATAATGGAAAACTATATTTTAGGCAATGAAGATGATTCTAAATAAGTTACATTTTCTTATTATGAAAGATTTAACCTTCATTAAGTTGAAATATGAAAGTTCGTTTTGATTTGTAAAGTGTTGCAGCTGTAATTTAACAACATAATCGACATAATAAGCCATACACATAAATATAAATAATCAACTTCACTTACTTTGTCCCAAAAATATGTAACTCAAATTTCCGCGTTCCCAATTACCCTGATCAAAACCTAATAATGTTGTATCAATTCGCACATTAGATCCCTGTTTAAATATTTTATAGGTATCACTTGGACACATTCTTGATACTAATGGAACTAAAAACCAAACAATGTTTTAAATCTGACTCAAAATAACAATTCTTGATTCAAAAACCCTACCCCAACTAATGAATTCCCACTTCATTTCTACATAAAAATCAGGCGATTCTTCAAGTAGTTTTAACAGTTTTGAAACATCAGTGGCTCGATCTGAATGACGTTGATAGTCTCTGTGTTCCATAACAAGCTTAACCATTTCTGGATCACCTGTAGCAATTGCTTCTTGTAATGCTATAAAAATTATATTAACGGTTTAGAATATTGCTAAATAAAACTTGTTTTTTTTTTTTTTACCAGTCCATCCTTCATCATTCTTTACATTGACATTAGCTCCTCTGGTTATTAATATTCTAGTTGATTCTTTGTCACCTAATGTTATGGCTAACATCAAAGGAGTGCGACCTCTAGGGTCTAGTTTTTCTAGTTGATTCTAAAACAAAATAATATGTATACATTTAGACCATTTATTTAGGTATAAATGTGTTCATCATAAGAGTTATATCAAATACATACTTATAGTAAATTTAATTAATAATTAATATTCTTAATTTAATTTAAAGCAATCATATATTAAAATTAGTAGCTCATGTGGTTTGTGTAGGATAGTGCACAACAATTTTTTTTTTTTTTACCTTAAGAATATAAAATTAAAATGAATTTGTAAAAACAAATAACAACATATGCCACTCTGTAGTTATGACTAGGATTGGGATTTTAATGCCCTAAAAAATCTCAAAAAAAAAAAAATAATGGTAGACTTAAAAAAAACTCAAAAAAAATACACTTTAAAAATGTTTTTAAATTATTATAGGTTAAACANCTTGACACTAAATATTCAGAACTATTAACTATGATTATATTTCTCATGTACATAATTGTAACAGAAATCAAATAATTTGACTTTTCTTTATATTAGTAATAAAATAAACTAATCAGTGATTCATATGAAGATACCTATCAACAGCATACAATAATAAATTACAACATTAAAGACATGTTTTATATTAGGTAGGTATACACGTTTTAATAATATATTTAACACAAAAGATAAWAATAAATTAATTTCTGACTAGCTAAAAATATTCCTTTCTTCTTCTTATTTTTTTGTAAATATAAAAGGTTAAATAAATATTTAATAATAATAAATAAATATAATTCATATTTTTAAATAGCTGAATACATTTAAAAAACTCAATATAAATAAGACTGAATAGTGGGATAATGAGTATACAAGTAATAAATAGATTTGCAAAAAAAAGTTAAACAATAAAATTTACATTATATTATACATAGTATAATATAATAATTAAAACTACTTAATCATACACAAATTTAAGATCAAAAATGATAAAAATATAAAATTTTATAAATAGTTTTTTTTTTAAAGCTTAGGAGATATATTATAATAAGGTTACCACTATAGTATTAAACTATTAGGTATTTTAAGTTTAAACATTTTAAGTCTTTTGCTGTAAAATTGACCACACAAAGAATAAAATAAGTGAATAATACAATTGGGTGTAATTTACAAATAAATAATAAAAAAATAGTTTAAAATATTAAAATACAAATTGAATAGTTTGTAATAATTTACACATATTTCTATGAATACAATTAAGTTATATATTTAAAAAAAGGAATTCCAACAAGGCTATATTTCATCTAACAAACAAAATAATTAACTAGACATTTTTAAATTTTTATAATATATTATAACATATACTCTGTATACTCGGTCTCATATAAGAGTAACCTCAGGGACCATCCTTGTACACCAGTAGAAATGTGGCTTACATGTACCAAGTATCATCCCTTAGAAACTGTCCCTTTATTATACCAATAACCGCCTAGTTTGCATTTTGATAAGATTAAAACAATTAAATAATTTTTTGAAAGCAACTGATTGTCGGAAATGAAAGCTAAAAATGAAAGTTGATGAAAACTGGTTTAATCAAGAAGTGTGGTCAGACTAAACCAGATGCCAATCAGTCATTACCTAAGGTCACTCTCATACTGGATATAAACTCTAAATACAAAAGCATTTCTCAATGATAAAACATAACCAAAAAACTGTAATAATACAAMATTAGCTAATAATCAGAAAGTAGAATGTAAAACACTATAGGCAATTTACTAGACATGCATTACCCATTTTAGGTAATTTATATTACACATATTTAAATCAAAAATATTTTCATGGTATAAAAATATATATAAATTTAAACTCATTATAATTGTTAATTCAACGTCTTATAATGATTATTATCATTTTAGTATTTTTATTTTTATTAATTTGTGAATTTTTCATGGGACATAGAAAGTTTAACAGTAATATAACAAATAATAATAAATAAAAAAAAATTATTTTTCGGTCAGAGATAGTTGTAATATTTTTTCTAACATTTCTTCTTCCATTTGTGCCTGTAGTTCAGCCTGTCTTTTTTCTTCAATAGACAACCTCAGTACTGCTTTAAGATCAGCATCTGCATCATCAGCTGTTGCATTGTCAACTAAATCTGAAGCTTCTGATTGTGAAACCGGAGGCACAAATGTACATTCAGTCAAACTTGCATGGATTGCTCTACAAGGAAATTAACTAAATATACATACAAGCCAAGCCAAGGTATAATCGAATACTAAATATATTAGTTGGATAATAAACTAATCAATATTTATAAGATATTAAACAACTTGGTCCAAGGAAAATTTGTTTTAAGGTTTGAAATTAGAGGAATTAAGCATTTTATCGTCCTCTCTTTTTAAATGGTAACCTGTTTAAATACACTTATATTGAAAAATATGTATGATAAAATGTTTGTATATATTTGTACCTTTGTAATTCTTCATCGCCTGGATCGAAATAAAGGTCATTGGGAGTATTTGGTCGTTGAACTTGTAAAGCTTCCCAAATATCAACCTTTAAAAAAAAAAAAAAATGTTTGAAATTAATATTATAAAACATTAAATATATTATATAATTAATTACTTGATCTTCTTCAGCTCCAGTTTCTAAAAGACTCTGTCGAACAGCAAATTGAAGTAGTTCTTCATCATTATCCATACCAATTTGACGTCTTTGTTCAGCACCTTTAACAAATATTTAAGTAAAATACAAATATACATATTTGAATTATTGTATTAAAAATTGTCTTTTACCAAGCACCACATAATTTCTGGGAGGGAAAAATACAGAATCTTCAACTACACAGAACATTTTTCCGTCAGAGTCTAATGTTTGAACACCTTCTACAGCTCTATCGGTCCCAAATAAGTTACCAAATGTAATTTGGGCATTAGAAATATGGTATAGTGGTATTTCTACAAAATAATAATCATTTCAAAATATATCATTTAACTTATAGYTGAAAGATTAGATACCAATTTTAACAGGAAATCCTGATGGGAGCTGCATTTCAATGAAATCCTTTAGTTTGGCAAAATGAGAACTAGTAATTGCCATTAAATCAACAATTGGCATGATCTGTTCTTTCAAACTCAATGGGTAATCTTCACTAAGCCATAAATTAGCCTAAAAATATTTTAATTCATGTTTAAAGTCAATGGTTCACATTTTAAGCTAGGCATAATATTTAAACTTTTTTAAACCTTGATTTTTGTGACTTTTGTAGTTTGCTCAATTGGCTTCCGTATATATCTACCTTTGATATCAACCAATTCGTCAAAATATTCAGCCATAGTAACTTCAAGATCTGATTTGACTGGCTAACAGGCAAAATTTTAAAYATAAAATACATAATTAAAAACTTWAATTAGTATTAACTTACACATGTTTCTTCACTTGAGCCTAAAATTGATTGGATGGGATTTTTTGTATTATTTAATTTTGCTTTTTCAGTTTCATTCATATGCTCTGTTCTTGATTTGGTAACAAATTCCACATTACTTGCACTAAATACTTTACAATTATAATCATTAATTATTTCTGATTTATCTTGCCGCCAACCCCAAATACCACTTTTATTCCTATAATACAAATAACACATAAAAATCATTGTAAATTTCTCATAAAATATTCATAAAATACCTTTCAAAACTAATTTTTTTAGTATCTATATCAAAACTAACAATAGGAGCAGACAATCTGCTGGCTATTGTATCATCTGATGGACGCATCACTTCAATACCTTGATCTAAAGGTATCATTTGTATTTCTTCTACATAAACCCTGTGTGCTTCATGATCTACTTCTAAAAATGTAGCTGATTTACCTAATAAAACAATATATTAAACATTTGATTAAGTTCAAACAATATTAATAATTTTACAAAAAAAAACAATAGTTAATAACAATCTATTTTAAAGAATAAAAGGTCCACTTCTAATAAAATATTCATAAGGTAATAGTTTAAATAACTTATTATACTGAATTTTTTTAGTATACACAATCTTTCAGAAAACGTGT